CCAACAAGCGACAACAGGGGCCCATGACAGATTACGGGCCTGGCAGCAGCATGAGGAGTCGGTACGGGGGCCCATGGCAGATTAGGGGCCTGGCAGCAGCTATGGGAGGCCCGTAATCTGCCAGCACCCTATGACAAAAAATGGAACCCACCAGCAGTGTGAGGAGACCTGAAAGTGGCACATGGCAGAGTGTGGCGATGGAGACAGCAGCAATGGGAGGCCGTACAGGGTACAGGGACCCATGACAGACTCTGGACCTGGCAGCAGCATGAGGAGGCGGTATAGGGGCCCATGGCAGATTAGGGGCCTGGCAGCAGCTATGGGAGGCCCGTAATCTGCCAGCACCCTATGACAAAAAATGGAATACACCAGCAGTGTGAGGAGACCTGAAAGTGGCACATGGCAGAGTGTGGCGATGGAGACAGCAGCAATGGGAGGCCGTACAGGGACCCATGAGAGACTCTGGACTTGGCAGCAGCATGAGGAGGCGGTATAGGGGCCCATGGCAGATTAGGGGCCTGGCAGCAGCTATGGGAGGCCCGTAATCTGCCAGCACCCTATGACAAAAAATGGAACACACCAGCAGTGTGAGGAGACCTGAAAGTGGCACATGTTTGGGGCATGATTCATGGCGGATTTAGTCAGTTGTGTCAGGAACTGGTGGTTTGAAATCCAGACTAATCCACGCCTGATTCATTTTCACAAACGTCAGTCTCTCCACACTTTGGGTGGACAGTCGTGTCCTCCGCGGAGTTGCAATACCTCCTGCCGCACTAAACACGCGCTCCGATGCCACGCTACTGGCCGGGCATGACAGCCTTTCAAGGGCAAATTCAGCTAGTTGGGGCCAAAGGTCAAGTTTCGTTGCCCAGTAGTCAAGGGGATTGTCTACCTCGGTTGGCAGGGTGCTGTCCAAGTAGGCCTAAGCCTGTTGTTTGAGGTCCTGCTCCAGGTCCACCTGATGCTGCTGCTGCTGCTGCTGCTGCTGCTGCGGCTGGTTAGTAGTTTCCTCACTGCGCTGGTGAAGAAAGCTACTCATCATCGACTGCAGACTGAGGCAGCCGCTGCTGGTGGAGCTGCCACTGCTCCTACCACCCCACCCCTCCCCTGCTGCCATGGCAGCGGAACGCGAGCGCACAGGGCCCACAGTGTCTGAGGATGGACGTTGGCGCAGACAGGCAGAGACCAGCTGACTACATAGGTGGTTTTTATAGTACGTTATTTTGGCCTCCCTCCCTCAGCAGTGTGTGAAAAGGCCACCATTTTTGAACGGTAGCGAGGGTCCAACAAGGTGGACAGCCAAAAGTCATCCCTCTGTCTGATGGTTATTATTCGGCTGTCGCTACGCAAGCAACCGAGCATGCTATGGGCCATTTGTGCCAAGGAATGCGAGGGACTCCCTGCCTCCATCTCCACAGCATACTGCCACGGTGCGTCTGGGTCCTCTGTCTCCTCCTCCTCCTCCTCCTCTACCAGATGCTCCTGCTCCTCCACTCCTGTCCGCTGAGTGGAAAAACCACCCATTTCACTCAATAATTCCTGAGCACCAATGTCCTCCTCTACCTCCTCCTCTTCTTCCTGTCCTGCCCCCACAGGGGTCATGTGGCGTTGAGATCTGTGCGCCACGTCTACCGCACCCTGACCAGCCATTGTTAACAGCATTTGTTCCAGGACGTGCAACAGAGGAATGACGTCGTTCATCCCATAGTCCTGCCGACTCACGAATAGCGTGGCCTCCTCAAAGGGCCTGAGCAAGCGCAGGTGTCACGCATGAGCTGCCAATGGCTGACATCTAAGTTACACAGGGAGTACCTTTATCCGCTTTTAACATCAGGAAATCGGTGATGGCCTTTCGCTGTTCGTAAAGGCGGTCTAACATATGTAGGGTTGAATTCCACCTTGTTGCAACGTCACAGCATGAGGAGTCGGTACGGGGGCCCATGGCAGATTACGTGCCTGGCAGCAGCAATGGGAGGCCCGTAATCTGCCAGCACCCTATGTCAAAAAATTCAACACACCAGCAGTGTGAGGAGACCTGAAAGTGGCACATGGCAGAGTGTGGCTATGGAGACAGCAGCAATGGGAGGCCGTACAGGGACCCATGACAGACTCTGGACTTGGCAGCAGCATGAGGAGGCGGTATATAGGGGCCCATGGCAGATTAGGGGCCTGGCAGCAGCTATGGGAGGCCCGTAATCTGCCAGCACCCTATGTCAAAAAATTCACACACCAGCAGTGTGAGGAGACCTGAAAGTGCACATGGCAGAGTGTGGCGATGGAGACAGCAGCAATGGGAGGCCGTACAGGGACCCATGAGAGACTCTGGACCTGGCAGCAGCATGAGGAGGCGGTATATAGGGGCCTATGGCAGATTAGGGGCCTGGCAGCAGCTATGGGAGGCCCGTAATCTGCCAGCACCCTATGTCAAAAAATTCTACACACCAGCAGTGTGTGAGGAGACCTGAAAGTGGCACATGGCAGAGTGTGGCGATGGAGACAGCAGCAATGGGAGGCCGTACAGGGACCCATGAGAGACTCTGGACCTGGCAGCAGCATGAGGAGGCGGTATATAGGGGCCTATGGCAGATTAGGGGCCTGGCAGCAGCTATGGGAGGCCCGTAATCTGCCAGCACCCTATGTCAAAAAATTCTACACACCAGCAGTGTGTGAGGAGACCTGAAAGTGGCACATGGCAGAGTGTGGCGATGGAGACAGCAGCAATGGGAGGCCGTACAGGGACCTGAGAGACTCTGGACCTGGCAGCAGCATGAGGAGGCGGTATATAGGGGCCTATGGCAGATTAGGGGCCTGGCAGCAGCTATATGGGAGGCCCGTAATCTGCCAGCACCCTATGTCAAAAAATTCTACACACCAGCAGTGTGAGGAGACCTGAAAGTGGCACATGGCAGAGTGTGGCGATGGAGACAGCAGCAATGGGAGGCCGTACAGGGACCCATGAGACTCTGGACCTGGCAGCAGCATGAGGAGGCGGTATATAGGGGCCCTATGGCAGATTAGGGGCCTGGCAGCAGCTATGGGAGGCCCGTAATCTGCCAGCACCCTATGTCAAAAAATTAACACACCAGCAGTGTGTGAGGAGACCTGAAAGTGGCACATGGCAGAGTGTGGCGATGGAGACAGCAGCAATGGGAGGCCGTACAGGGACCCATGAGACTCTGGACCTGGCAGCAGCATGAGGAGGCGGTATATAGGGGCCTATGGCAGATTAGGGGCCTGGCAGCAGCTATGGGAGGCCCGTAATCTGCCAGCACCCTATGTCAAAAAATTCAACACACCAGCAGTGTGTGAGGAGACCTGAAAGTGGCACATGGCAGAGTGTGGCGATGGAGACAGCAGCAATGGGAGGCCGTACAGGGACCCATGAGAGACTCTGGACCTGGCAGCAGCATGAGGAGGCGGTATATAGGGGCCTATGGCAGATTAGGGGCCTGGCAGCAGCTATGGGAGGCCCGTAATCTGCCAGCACCCTATGTCAAAAAATTCTACACACCAGCAGTGTGTGAGGAGACCTGAAAGTGGCACATGGCAGAGTGTGGCGATGGAGACAGCAGCAATGGGAGGCCGTACAGGGACCCATGAGAGACTCTGGACCTGGCAGCAGCATGAGGAGGCGGTATATAGGGGCCTATGGCAGATTAGGGGCCTGGCAGCAGCTATGGGAGGCCCGTAATCTGCCAGCACCCTATGTCAAAAAATTCAACACACCAGCAGTGTGTGAGGAGACCTGAAAGTGGCACATGGCAGAGTGTGGCGATGGAGACAGCAGCAATGGGAGGCCGTACAGGGACCCATGAGAGACTCTGGACCTGGCAGCAGCATGAGGAGGCGGTATATAGGGGCCTATGGCAGATTAGGGGCCTGGCAGCAGCTATGGGGGAGGCCCGTAATCTGCCAGCACCCTATGTCAAAAAATTCAACACACACCAGCAGTGTGTGAGGAGACCTGAAAGTGGCACATGGCAGAGTGTGGCGATGGAGACAGCAATGGGAGGCCGTACAGGGACCCATGAGAGACTCTGGACCTGGCAGCAGCATGAGGAGGCGGTATATAGGGGCCTATGGCAGATTAGGGGCCTGGCAGCAGCTATGGGAGGCCCGTAATCTGCCAGCACCCTATGTCAAAAAATTCAACACACCAGCAGTGTGTGAGGAGACCTGAAAGTGGCACATGGCAGAGTGTGGCGATGGAGACACAGCAGCATGGGGGGCCGTACAGGGACCCATGAGAGACTCTGGACCTGGCAGCAGCATGAGGAGGCGGTATATAGGGGCCCATGGCAGATTAGGGGCCTGGCAGCAGCTATGGGAGGCCCGTAATCTGCCAGCACCCTATGTCAAAAAATTCTACACACCAGCAGTGTGTGAGGAGACCTGAAAGTGGCACATGGCAGAGTGTGGCGATGGAGACAGCAGCAATGGGAGGCCGTACAGGGACCCATGACAGACTCTGGACCTGGCAGCAGCATGAGGAGGCGGTATATAGGGGCCTATGGCAGATTAGGGGCCTGGCAGCAGCTATGGGAGGCCCGTAATCTGCCAGCACCCTATGTCAAAAAATTCAACACACCAGCAGTGTGTGAGGAGACCTGAAAGTGGCACATGGCAGAGTGTGGCGATGGAGACAGCAGCAATGGGAGGCCGTACAGGGACCCATGAGAGACTGGACCTGGCAGCAGCATGAGGAGGCGTATATAGGGGCCCCTATGGCAGATTAGGGGCCTGGCAGCAGCTATGGGAGGCCCGTAATCTGCCAGCACCCTATGTCAAAAAAATCAACACACCAGCAGTGTGTGTGAGGAGACCTGAAAGTGGCACATGGCAGAGTGTGGCGATGGAGACAGCAGCAATGGGAGGCCGTACAGGGACCCATGAGAGACTCTGGACCTGGCAGCAGCATGAGGAGGCGGTATATAGGGGCCCATGGCAGATTAGGGGCCTGGCAGCAGCTATGGGAGGCCCGTAATCTGCCAGCACCCTATGTCAAAAAATTCAACACACCAGCAGTGTGTGAGGAGACCTGAAAGTGGCACATGGCAGAGTGTGGCGATGGAGACAGCAGCAATGGGAGGCCGTACAGGGACCCATGAGAGACTCTGGACCCTGGCAGCAGCATGAGGAGGCGGTATATAGGGGCCCATGGCAGATTAGGGGCCTGGCAGCAGCTATGGGAGGCCCGTAATCTGCCAGCACCCTATGTACACACCAGCAGTGTGTGAGGAGACCTGAAAAAAAATTCAACACACCAGCATGTGTGAGGAGACCTGAAAGTGGCACATGGCAGAGTGTGGCGATGGAGACAGCAGCAATGGGAGGCCGTACAGGGACCCATGACAGACTCTGGACCTGGCAGCAGCATGAGGAGGCGGTATATAGGGGCCCATGGCAGATTAGGGGCCTGGCAGCAGCTATGGGAGGCCCGTAATCTGCCAGCACCCTATGTCAAAAAATTCAACACACCAGCAGTGTGTGAGGAGACCTGAAAGTGGCACATGGCAGAGTGTGGCGATGGAGACAACCCACCGACTGTTTCAGTGCTCGCTGCCAAGCTGCCACCCTCTTCTCCTGATGATGCGGAAGCAATAGCCTGATGACGACGAGGCTGCCAAGTGCGATCAGCCTCATCATCATCAATTAGGGTCTCCGCCTCACTACTAGCCCCCTCGTGCTGCGTGTGGGTCAGGAGACAGACCTGTCTCTAGACTCTCTCTCCTCGCCACTACTTCTTCGCCTGGCTGCTGAAGAGGCGGATGTCTCCCCCCGTTCCTGACCGCCCTCTGTTAGCTCTTCCTCACTGTACTGGATGACACCGGGAGCACTAGCCTCTGGCTGCGAATAGTGCTGCCTCGACCCCTTCCTCTGCTGCCACGTCTGCTCGCTCCTAAAAACATTGCCTCCTCTGCCACTCCTCTGCATGTTGTCTGACATACTCTTTAATTAAACGATTCTGTGTCCCTGAGTAACAATTCTGTGTCCCTGAGTAAAATTCTGTGTCTGTGGCCAGAGTAAGTAACATTCTGTGGCCCTAAGTAACAATTCTGTGTCCCCTCAGTAACAATTCTGTGTCTGTCCCTGAGTAACAATTCTGTGTCTGTGCAGTAACAATTCTGTGTCCCTCAGTAACAATTCTGTGTCCCTCAGCCCTAAACAATTCTGTGTCCCTGCAGTAACAATTCTGTGTCTGTGCGAGTAACAATTCTGTGGCCCTAAGTAACAGTTCTGTGCCCCTCAGTAACAATTCTGTGTCTGTGCGAGTAACAATTCTGTGTCTGTGCGAGTAACAATTCTGTGGCCCTAAGTAACAGTTCTGTGGCCCTCAGTAACAATTCTGTGCCCTGAGTAACAATTCTTCTGTGCGAGTAACGAGTAACAATTCAATTCTGTGGTCCCTGAGTAACAATTCTGTGCCCTAAGTAACGTTTCTGTGGCCCTCAGTAACAATTCTGTGTCCCTGAGTAACAATTCTGTGTCTGAGTGTTCTGTGGTAAGTAACAATTCTGCCCTATCTTCCTGTGAGTAACAGTTCTGTGGCCCTCAGTAACAATTCTGTGTCCCTGAGTAACAATTCTGTGTGAGTAACAATTCTGGCCCTAAGTAACGTTTCTGTGGCCCTCAGTAACAATTCTGTGTCTCCCTGAGTAACAATTCTGTGTCCCCGAGTAACAATTCTGTGGCCCTAAGTAACAGTTCTGTGGCCCTCAGTAACAATTCTGTGTCCTGTGCGAGTAACAATTCTGTGTCTGTGCGAGTAACAATTCTGTGGCCCTAAGTAACGGTTCTGTGGCCCTCAGTAACAATTCTGTGTCCCTGAGTAACAATTCTGTGTCTGTGCCCGAGTAACAATTCTGTGTCCCTGGCCCAGTAACAATTCTGTGTCCCTCAGTAACAATTCTGTGTCCCTCAGTAACAATTCTGTGTCTGTGCGAGTAACAATTCTGTGGCCCTAAGTAACAGTTCTGTGGCCCTCAGTAACAATTCTGTGTCCCTGCGAGTAACAATTCTGTGTCTGTGCCCGAGTAACAATTCTGTGGCCCTAAGTAACATTCTGTGGCCCTCAGTAACAATTCTGTGGTGTGCGAGTAACAATTCTGTGTCTGTGCGAGTAACAATTCTGTGCCCTAAGTAACAGTTCTGTGGCCCTCAGTAACAGTTCTGTGGCCCTCAGTAACAATTCTGTCTGTCCCTGAGTAACAATTCTGTGCCCTAAGTAACAGTTTCTGTCCCTGAGTAACAGTAACAATTCTGTGTCCCTGAGTAACAATTCCCCCTGAGTAACAATTCTGTGTCCCTAAGTAACAATTCAGTCAACAATTCTGTGTCCCTCAGTAACAATTCTGTGTCTGTGCGAGTAACAAATTCTGTGGCCCTAAGTAACAGTTCTGTGGCCCTCAGTAACAATTCTGTGTCTGTGCGAGTAACAATTCTGTGTCTGTGCGAGTAACAATTCTGTGGCCCTAAGTAACAGTTCTGTGGCCCTCAGTAACATTCTGTTCTGTGTCTGTGCGAGTAACAATTCTGTGTCTGTGCGAGTAACAATTCTGTGGCCCTAAGTAACAGTTCTGTGGCCCTCAGTAACAGTTCTGTGTCCCTGAGTAACAATTCTGTGTCTGTGCGAGTAACAATTCTGTGTGGCCCTAAGTAACAGTTCTGTGGCCCTCAGTAACAATTCTGTGTCCCTGATTAACGTTTCTGTGGCCCCAAGTAATTCTGTGGCCCTCAGTAACAATTCTGTGTCCCTGAGTAACAATTCTGTGTCTAACGAGTAACAATTCTGTGGCCCTAAGTAACGGTTCTGTGGCCCTCAGTAACAATTCTGTGTCCCTGAGTAACAATTCTGTGTCTGTGCGAGTAACAATTCTGTGGCCCTAAGTAACAGTTCTGTGGCCCTCAGTAACAATTCTGTGTCTGTGCGAGTAACAATTCTGTGCCCTGTGCGAGAGTAACAATTCTGTGGCCCTCAGTAACAGTTCTGTGCCCCAGTAACAATTCTGTGTCTGTGCGAGTAACAATTCTGTGGCCCTAAGTAACAGTTCTGTGGCCCTCAGTAACAATTCTGTGTCCCTGAGTAACAATTCTGTGTCTGTGCGAGTAACAATTCTGTGGCCCTAAGTAACAGTTCTGTGTCCCTCAGTAACAATTCTGTGTCTGTGCGAGTAACAATTCTGTGGCCCTAAGTAACAGTTCTGTGGCCCTCAGTAACAATTCTGTGTCCCTGAGAGTAACAATTCTGTGTCTGTGCGAGTAACAATTCTGTGGCCCTAAGTAACAGTTCTGTGGCCCTCAGTAACAATTCTGTGTCCCTGAGTAACAATTCTGTGTTCTGTAACAATTCTGTCTGTGCGAGTAACAATTCTGTGGCCCTAAGTAACAATTCTGTGTCCCCTGTAACAATTCTGTGTGTCTGTGCGAGTAACAATTCTGTGGCCCTAAGTAACAATTCTGTGGCCCTAAGTAACAATTCTGTGTCCTGCGAGTAACAATTCTGTGTCTGTGCGAGTAACAATTCTGTGGCCCTAAGTAACAATTCTGTGTCCCTGAGTAACAATTCTGTGTCTGTGCGAGTAACAATTCTGTGGCCCTAAGTAACAGTTCTGTGGCCCTCAGTAACAATTCTGTGTCTGTGCTGAGTAACAATTCTCTGTGCGAGTAACAATTTCTGTGGCCCTAAGTAACAATTCTGTGGCCCTCAGTAACAATTCTGTCTGTCCCTGAGTAACAATTCTGTGGCCCTAACTAAAGTTTCTGTGGCCCTAAGTAACAATTCTCTGGCACTCAGTAACAATTCTGTCTGTCCCTGAGTAACAATTCTGTGGCCCTAATAACGTTTCTGTGGCCCTAAGTAACAATTCTCTGGCACTCAGTAACAATTCTGTCTGTCCCTGAGTAACAATTCTGTGGCCCTAATAACGTTTCTGTGGCCCTAAGTAACAATTCTCTGGCACTCAGTAACAATTCTGTCTGTCCCTGAGTATGAATTCTGTGGCCCTAACTAGCGTTTCTTTGTCCCTAAGTAACGATTCTGTGGCCCTAATTAACAATTCTGTGTCCCTGAGTAATAGTTCTCTCTGTCCCTAAGTATCGTTTCTCTGTCCCCAAGTATCGTTTCTGTGGCCCTAACTCTGTCCCTGTCCCTAATACAGAGCGGTCTGCCTCTGTTCAATGACTGCAGGCAAATGAAGAATTCCAAAATGGCCGCTATTTATAGCTCGACCATTATTTTCGGAAAAATTTTGATTCGCGCATCCGAATTAGGCTATTTTTTGGATTCGGCGCGAATCGAAATTTTTCCGATATTCGACTCGAATTCCACTTCGGCTACTTCGATTCGCTCATCTCTACTTTTAACATTCTATGAGGAGTTGAACTGTAATTTGGATAGAGACAGGCCTATGAATGTAGCGTATCTAGAATTTTCTTGGGCATTTAATATAGTACCCCATAAATGTTTGATGTACAAAAAAAGGTAATTTGGCATTGATGATATTGTATGTATCTGGATAGAAAACTGGTTGCAAGTGGTATGTCCAGGGTCCAGTCCTGGGACAAATTCTGTTTAACTTGTTCATAAACAATGTAGAGGTTGGAATAACCAATTCAATCTCTCTGTTTGCTGATGATACAACGATAAGCTATTTTGTAAAGCACGGTGTAAACTGTTGGCGCTGTGTAAGTCCTGAATAATAATAATAATAATAAGCAGGGCAATAATGTCATAACAGGATACAGCAATTATAGCACAGACCCCAGACCAAACTGCCTGTTTGATCCCAGGTTTCATTCCCTGATAGGCACATGGCAGCAGTTCCCAGTCACTCAAGTCAGGAAACAGGCCATACATGTCTTTTAGCAGTTTATTTGCTGGTTTAACTGGTTAGTTGTGGGTGAGCCTTGGGATACTCCAAAATTGCAGCAATGCAATGTAGGATAGTTGTAACTCATCTACTCATTCAAGATGCAACCACCTTCCTGAATTCAGAGTTTAAAGCGAAATTCCACTCAAAAAGCGGAAGCTCCGCTTATTTGCCTCCTCCCCCCTCCATTGCCATATTTGGCACCATTTGGGGGGGGGGGGGGGGGGATCGGGTACCTGGTTTTGACAGATACCCGCTCCCACTTCCAGCTCAGTTCACTGAGGTGAAGTTGAGCCAGAAGTTTGGCCCCCTCCTACCTCTCGTAGTCTCCTGGGAACTTCTACATGCACAGTGGGTACCAAGCTGTGAAGCCGCAAGCTGTCACAGCCTGGTACCCACAGTAGAGATGCTGGAGCCATAGAGGAGAGAAGGGGAGAAGGGATGTAGCTGGTGAAAACATCGCTGGACCCCAGGACAGGTAAGTGTGTGTTTATTAAAAGTCAGCAACTA